ATCAGTCAATCAGGACTCGAGGTTGAAAATTGATGAAAGTTTAATGTGAAAAATAAAAGATAGAAACACTAACCTATATTTATTCAAGACGCTACACCTTTTCTCTTTTGGATGACTTCATGCAATTGTCACAGAAATACTTTCTGCTTAGGTTCTATAGAATATCAGGAATGACACCGTCTATCTAAATTTGCACCAAAACCCTTGCAGGGAAAGAAAATAAGAATTTACACAAATTTATCAAACCTTATCAAAGAAAAACATTACCATTAAATGATGATGAAAAATGTCCTCCTCGACAATCATCCTCATTTTGGAATTGATGTCTTTCAAGTGAAAGTACTTGATCTTAGGAGGAAGGTGACTGCTGAGGACACAGAAATTGCTCTTCAATCAAGGAGGTTTTTTTTGTTAGTCTGGAAGCTTTCAAATTTGCAGAAACAAATAAAACAGACAGATTAAATGTGATAATTATCGACTGAATTCATAACCGATTCAGCTGCAAACACTCCCGACACTTTGGGTCAATGTAGGTTTTTGTAAAATATTTTGGCATAATAATAAATAATAATAATAATCCTTGCATTTGATATAGCGCTTTTCGTGTCTTCTAGACGTCTCAAAGCACTTCACAGAATATACCGTAAAGTGAGTTGACTGTATATTTGTGGGCAAAACGCGGCAGCCAATTGTGCACAGCAGTGCCCCACAAACAGTCATGGATTGAGTGACCAAATTGTTATTTTATTTATTTCCTTGAGGGATTATTATCAGGTGTGTGGAGTAAGGAAACTTGCCCAAGGTTTCGCCCTGCTGGGAATCGAACCCAAGTCTCTCGCTTGCGAGGCAAGTGCTCTATTCATTGAGCTGCAGGACTCCAAAATCATCTATGTTTGGCGTGAGCTGCCCACATAGACTGCTTTTTAGTGACCTAGAACAAATTGCATTTATATAGCATCTTTCATGTCAGGAGGACATCGCAGGGCAAAGGATTTGCAGTGGGAGCATCATCTGAAGATGCTTTTTCAGGTCATTAGCCGAGTTAAGCTGCTATTGTTCTATTTTATTTTTAGCTTAGGAAATCTGTGATCCTCCGCAATTGACATCACCGAGATATAAACAAGGAGTATAGCCTATGTTTATATAGCCCCCTTCAGTGGGGTGGCATCTCAGAGCGTTGAGACCTTTGGGCCAGAGGCTTCGGTCTGATGCCAGAAACCTAAAGATCTCACCATTGTTGTCTGCCTCTCCTTTTCTCAATGTCCATCCCTGCCATCGTGAAACACTCCAAGACGTTATGCTACATGATGGACATTATATAAATGCTGGTTAAGTCTTTGTTAAATTAAGCTTGAAAGAATCCCATCATAATTCAATGGATTTGAGGCCATTTGAATGGAGACCATAAGGATCATATGGCCTCATCCTGAATGTGGGTAAAGAGACATATTGCAAATTTGATAGCAGGGCAATTCATCACACTGCTGCTTGCCAAATTAAGTTGCAACAAAGCTGCAATGGTTAGGTTACATTTTTCATTGTCTAAGTTTCTTTCTGGACAAAGATTTTCCCCAATTCATCCTGCTCTGTGATTGGAAGCACTTTGTAATTATGCATAAAATTAGACCATGTTTACAGGTCATTCAATGGCAGACATTGTATGCTAGGCTAGCATTGTTTCATGACATTATTTCAACTACTGGGGTCTAACCTATGGCTCATGATCATTGGAGTACAGGGAAGCTATATGCAGAAGTCTGGCAATTCTATTGTAGATAGACTATGAGGATAGAAAAAGCACAATATTTCATAGGGTGCATTGAAATCAGGTATCATAGCTGGGACATGTTCCTCTGGAGACTGAGACTGACTGAATAGTGTGAACTAATAGGGCCAAATCAGCAATTATTTTCCACCACGGCCACTACTCTAGTAGTGATTCCAGCATGAGAGAATTCACACTATACGTGAAGAGCGCTCTATACATGTAAGTTGTTGTTGTAGTTGTAACTATCAGGGTCAATTTCTACACATTGGATACCTTCTAGTCACCCACATGAAGTGTACCTCAGTCAGCCTCAAATATTAGTACTATACTTAAGTGACAATTTCTTTGTTCTGCACTGCATCCACATGACGCTGTCAAAATTACAGTTCAATATCCAAGGTCAACAGATGACTCATTAATCTCATGGTCATCAGCGGTTTCCAATTTACATACCAGGGAAGAAGGTGTGGACTCTTCGATGTTTAGTGATATCAGATATGCCTTGACCTCATGCCTCATTAAGTTATTTTATATTCCAAGAACAAGATCATAACCTCTCATAACCAGGCACATAGTTCACTGAAAATGATGTAGACCTGTAGCTTAGTAGTTAAAGCACTTGCCTTGCATGCGAGAGACTTGGGTTAGGATTCCACAATTCACTTTACAGTATATTATGTGAATATCTGTTTTAAAAGTATGCAGCAACCTGCTACAACTGTTGCACCAAACTAGCTAAATTGAAAGAGTGTGATAGCAGATTTTGTTTTGAATTCAGCAGCAAACTCTATCCCAGAGTCCCTCCGACCTTCTCCTTCCCTTACCTCGTACAAGGTCCATCTCAAGACTTACCTCTTTGACCGTGCTTTCGGTCATCTTTCCCCTCCCCACCCCACTTGGCCCCCACCGCCAGCTTGGTGCCAAGCCAGAATTGTTAAACACCTTGGAATATCCTCCCAAAGTGAAAGATGCTATATCAATATAGTCCTAAAGTGGAGTCCTGTTGCTCAACGGTTGGAGCACTATAATAATAATAATAATAATCCTTGCATTTGATATAGCGCTTTTCACGTCAGGAGGACGTCCCAAAGCGCTTCACAGAACACACTGTAAAGTGAATTGACTGTATATTTGTGGGCGAACGCGGCAGCCAATTGCACACAGCAATGTCCCACAAACAGTCGTAGATTGAAAATGACCAATTTATTATTGTTTTGGAGGGATTATTATTAGGCTCTGTGTGGAGTAAGGAAACTTGCCCAAGGTTTCGCCCTGTGCCTGGAATTGCACTCAGGTCTCTCACTTGCAAACCGAGTGCTCTAACCACTGAGCTACAGGACTCCACAAAGCTTCACAAGCGAGAGACCTGGTTCAATTCCCAGCAGGACAAAATATTGGGTAAGTTTCCTTACTCCACACGTTTCTGTTTACCTAGCAGTAAGTAGGAACCCGGTTCTTAGTTAATTGGCGGATCGCTTTTCCGGGGGTAATAATTCCTTCAAAAGAAATAATAAATTGGTCACTTCAATCCACGATTTTTTGTGGGTCACTGCTGTGCACAATTAGCTGCAATGTTTTGCCCACAAAATATAGTCATTTCATTTTACAGTGTATCTTGTGAAGCGCTTTGAGATGTCTCAAAGATGTGATAAGGTGTTATATCAAATGCAAGTAATATTATTGCATGCAAATTTATATTGTAATTTTCCCTGCATCCTGGACAGAAGTGTCTGATCTTCATTTAACACTATTTCTTAGAAGCACAGTGTGGAGCAGACCACAAGGTCCAATGTAGCTGCTGCCCTGCAAAAAGACAAATGCACATCGAAGAAGGGAAAAAACTGCTAAATTTATAAATCTTGTGTGCACGTGTTTAAAAATGTTATTTTATACATTATGAAACTCATTTCCCATGAGATTAAATATATGTATAGTTCTGTACCAATGCTTGCTTTGGCTAAGCAAATACTTCTGAGCACCTGTTTTTCTAGTTATGTTTGTTAAGTATAAATAGAAGACACACAAGAAAGAAACAGCTGACTCTAATTGGAGACGTTCTCTGTATTCATTGCTATTCTCTCTCACTCACCAACTTCCTTCCCTAACACACTCACAGGGCCGAGCATTATTAAGTATCTTTTCTTATGGCACATTACTCTTTCTCGGATAATAGAATTATGAAAACTCTACTCCAGATGCTGACGTCTTACAATTTTAAACTGCATTTATCACCAAGCCATTCTCTCCTGCGTTCCCCCAAGAATGTTTCCAGCTATCCCCGTGCCTACAAGATTTATATCCTGTTTCATACTGTTCCAACATGTTCACCATCCTTTTCATATCTCCAAGATTCCAACTTAAGCAGTTTCCTCACTATCAGTGTCTATTAAGATTCCCTTCAGCCTCCTCACTTCTCCAATATCTCTCCCCTTCATGTGTATAATCTCATTCCCGTTTCCAACCTTTCCGACAGCATTATGCAGGAATCCATCAAGGTAAATAATCTGGTGTAACAGGGATGTTTAGCACTTGAACTAGTGATAGATATCTTCCCATTGAGGGTTAAATTACACTTCTAAATATGCTACATGCTCCTTCTGAATAAATTGTATCTTTAAATACAAATTATATTAAATAATAATAATAATCCTTGCATTTGATATAGCGCTTTTCACGTCGAGAGGACGTCCCAAAGCGCTTCACAGAACACACTGTAAAGTGAATTGACTGTATATTTTGTGGGTGAACGCGGCAGCCAATTGCGCACAGCAATGTCCCACAAACAGTTGTAGATTGAAAATGACCAATTTATTATTATTTTGTTTTTTTGGAGGGATTATTATTAGGCGTGTGGAGTAAGGAAACTTGCCCAAGGTTTCGCCCTGTCTGGAATTGAACTCAGGTCTCTCGCTTGCAAAGCGAGTGCTCTAACCACTGAGCTACAATACTTATGCTAATAAACATAAAACTGTGTAACAAAATCTTTTTGGGAGCATAATCACCTCCCATGCTGTTAAACTGTTTTAAGTTCATTGAAAAAATACTAATACAGAATAAGAGTAAACATTTTGTGTTGGGGTTGGGCATCTTATTTGAATTGATTGTTATAATTTCCAGCATTATAGTTTTCACATTAGTATGAAGCTATAGGTAAGAGTAAAAAGACAAATTTATTTTTGTAAAAGAAATTCAGTACAAAACACACCATGGATAAAATGTGTTGTGGCTTCGCTGCATAATTTTAATTTACCAACTACTGATGGAATTTTAAAAAATCCAGGTACAAATAATATCAGACACAGGATTTATTTGTGTTAGTTACATTTATATGTCTAAGACAATGTATACAGAAAATAAAATAAAATAAATCTTGACCTATTGGCAATACATCTGTTGACTACTTCATTAAAATATTATACATCATCACCAGTATAGTATAACATTTCTATACAGCAAATGATTCCATTAATATGATTTTCCCTCAATTAATACTGTTTTCAGGGGTAATACTTTAATTTTTAGCCCAGATTTGAGAACAAATAATGTCTTATCTGTTTAGATTTTTACCGAGTTGCTTTGTTTGAAATTATGATCTTCAAATATTTTACTTAGTGCTCTTAAAAATAACGTTGTATAATCACAGAGGTTCAAAGATGACATATTGAATGGAGATGTTGTTTCACTCTGTATGTTTACTCAGTCAAAAAATGTCATTCAAAAAGTCAATGAAACATTCTCACCAATACTAAAAGTGTTAATAAAACATGTTTATGGGCACTATAAACTTTCTATTCAATTTGCCTCTACATCGTATGTTCTTTGTAGTTGAAAAGTAACAATTCTTGCATGTTATAAAGTATAACAGCAATTGGTAACTACAACTCTAATTGTATCATGGAAGAACACTGTAACGCACTTGGGAGATGCACTGAAACAACTGCTTTGTTTCTTTCACTTTAACTGTTAAAACATTCACAACACCATCATCTAAAATGTGGTTTCTCTTTCCCTAGAATCAATTTAAATAATTTGGTGTATTATTTCAGATCTAACCAATATTACTTCATTTGATATTATTAGAACTGATGGAGCACAGATGTTAATCTGACCATTCGTTCTCCTCAAATTCTGAATCGTCATCTGAATCACTGTATTCCACAGCAATACGTCTGGACAGGATCGTTGCCACATCATTTCCAACTGGCTCTCGTTTAGCTTCCTGCTCGCGTTGCTCTTGAACCTTTTTTAGTTGGATACCTGGAATAACAAAGGTTTATTGTAAACCTATTTAGTTTTGTTTCAATATTATTTTATTAATCAAGAATTAATTGATTAATGGGGTACGGGGACAATTTCTCCCTCTAGTGGAGGGATCCAAAACAAGGGGAAACAGTCTTCAAATTAGAGCTAAGATGGTGAGATCAGAGGATGTTTTGTCATACAAAGGGTTGTGAGAATGTGAAATAAATGCATTGCTGCAGAAGACTGTAGGATCAATTGGGCTGCTTAAAAAGGATAAATAAATATGGGTATTAACGGATATGGTGAAAAGGCAGAAATATAGCAGATAAAAATCTGACATGATCTAATAAATGGTGTGGACAGAAGGCCCTTCTACTAAACATGTGTTGGACCTCAGGAAATATAGGACTGACTGATCTTCTAAATAATATCTCAGCATTCTAAAATAATTTGCAGCTCATTCTATTTTCCATGTCTGCAATAGCAATATATTCCAGCTTGGTTAATTGCAATGTGCTCTCATAAACCTTAGAGGTTATTACCACTTTTGATCGAACTGTGCAATAAGAACTGTAACAAGGAATTGTTAGGTATATCACTCTATCCTAATTAAATACAGTATCAGCCTAATAGATGAATAATATGATTCTTTATAGGGAGGCAAATGTTTCTAGAGTTGAACAACAATATGAAATAGTTTGACTGAACTGAATCACACATCTTGAGAAACTCAGTCTATTCTGATAAAGAGATTATGCCATAGAGACACGTGCTTATCTTGAGAGGTTAATCTTAGATATTTTGATGCAATTCATTCGAGCCTGCGGCTAAAACTAGATTAGTGGTTATTATATGCATCAAAATGGGGAAGTAATCTGTCAAGTGGGCAGGACAATAATACTTGCTAATATACTTATAGAGGGAGGAAAATGATGGAAGGTTATGGTAGAAAATCTGCTGCCGACAGGAATGCCAACTAATGGAGATTATAATTAGAAAGCATTACGCCAAACAACCTCTTTATAAGGATTTGGGGATATTTATTTAAATGCCTTTATTCATATTAGGGAGATATCCAGAGGGATGATGGTTATCTTGAAACAATTTATCTCCAGCACACGTAGATCACAGGAAATTTTTTAGCAAATTCAGGGCAGGGTACATTCTTCTTGTGCTAATATACAATGGTTCAGAACAAAATGTCTCCTCCCAAATTATCTAAATACAGGGTGACCAAAAAGTCATGGTACCATTACAATGTCTAATAAGAAATTATGTTTTTTTTAGATAATAGGGTAGTTATTACGATTTTTTGGTCACCCTGTACAAACAGTACAAAAAGGGGAACTAAAGCATACCTGGAATGGCAGTGTAATGGTAGTACTTGATTACTACTCACCCATACGGATTGCAGCAAGGAGGTCACTTCTGGCATCATTGAGAGGAGTCTCTGCTGGCTCATGCCGTTTGGTGTCAAACGTAGGCTGGGGGTGCATTGGGGAGGAAGCGAGGGAGGAAGGTGGTGCTGGTGGTGGTGGAGGTGGGAGCGGAGGAGGTCCAGGAGGACCAGGTGGAGCAGCAACTCCAGGTGGGGGTGGAGGAGAAGCAAAGGGAACTGCTATCAGGGATCCGGGATGAGAAGCTAGAGCAGCAGGCACTTGGACAGGGCTGACAAAAGCTGTTTGAGCTGAAGGAATAACTGGGCCAGGAGGCAGAGGAGGAGGACCAGCTGATGTGTAATATTCCATCATCTGAGGAGGTTGTATGCTGTGATAAACAGAGAAGCTTTAGTCAATCTCTTGTCTTTTCCATCTTTTTTTTTAATCTAATCACATCACACAATTCAGTAAACATCCATCAATAAAAATAAATCAGTGTTTCAAGCCAGCACCATGATGAAGTGCTAGATTATGATACCTCTTCCATATCAATAAACATCCAATCTTCTTATTTCAAGCATCGGCAGAACACAAAAAATAATATGCTAATAGAAGAACATGTATTTTTTAGGACCAATAACGTCAAAATGTCTCAAAGAACTTCATAGGAAATTATTGTCAAATGAAGGAACTTTTTTTGTAGGCAAAAGTAAGTCATTTTGCGCAATGTCTCACAAGTAACCACAAAGTGAATGACCAGTTAATCTGGAGGATTGGTGGCCAGGACAACAGGAGAAACTCCCTTCTCTTTTTGAATAGTGTCATGGGATCTTTATTATCCACTAGAACATGCAGATAGGGTCTTAGCTTAAGGATAGTTTCTCTGACAATGACCACTACCTCAAGAATGTATTGCAGTCACAGGGCCGAGTTGAGACTGATAATATTCCACTATTTAAACATGAATAGATATTAATCAGAACAATGTTAGAAATGTTTTGAATAGATTGTGGCAAAATGTCTTATTCTACGTAAAATTATTACTGTTGGTTATATTTTTAAAAATGCAACTTCATGACTTAAAATGACATCTTCAAGTCCCATGAATGTCTCTATTTTTCACTGCTGAAAATCTATTTTAAGTTGTGTAATGTAGATCAGCTCTACAGCAGTTAATACAATTAGACCAAAATTTCACATCTGATAACATGTTAAGCATCTCAACATTACTTTTTTGACAATGGAAGGCAGAGAACCAATCCAAGGAAAACAATAGAAGGTTATGCTTGAAGGCTTAGTTGAGGAAGGGCAGGAAAAGGCTCATGTGGAGCATAAACACCGGCATAGACCAGTTGGGCCAATTAGCCTGTTTCTGTGCTGCATATTCTAATGTATTCTAATGGAACAGAGTGAAACTGCAAAGAATACTCAAAGATGAGTCCCATGGTATATAGGCATCACAATTTTTCAACCTGTCACAAAGACTTCCCAACAGAGCCAATCATAGCATATTTTACTGAATTTCTTTGCTCACAAAACATGATGGATTTTCATCTGTGTTTAACCAAGTCATATAATTTAATATAACAATTTAGCAGAAACATGTAAATAGTCTTTAAAGACAACTGGTGTCTAAATCTTCAAAGGCTAATAATAAAAGTATCTGACACCAGATGTTATAGAACTAAACTATTGTTTAGTTATCACAGAAGAATTGACTTAATGTTCAACATTCCTTACTTATTGAGAAGTGGCATGATTGAGCCATTTATTTACCTGTAATCAATTGGTTGCGGTGGTGGAACACCATTTACAGTACTATCTGTGGATGGTGGTGGAGGTGGTGGAGGTTGCTGAGGTCTGTTCAGAGTACCCTGTCTGAACCCTGCTCCAGAAGATCTGTAATCATGTTCATGGACCTGATTAGCAGCTAACAAGTGCTGCTGGTTATCGCCAGATGTATAAGAGGCTGGCATTTGCTGGTGTTGGTGACCATGGCTTGGGGTAGCAGGGTGTGAGTAATCTGTGAGATCTGATCCATGAGATCTGGTGTCAAAATAGGGAAACACAATTAAAAGTGGAATATTGTGTCCTGTGGAAAGAGCCTTGTGTACATAACAGAGCTAGGTTTGAAAGCACAGTATTCAAACTGAAAACAGACAAAATATGTTTAAAGAGCTTCCTACAGTCAAGTGGCTGTTATAGTATTTATTTGGTTGATTTCCAAATGAAATACTGTAGAGTTCAAGAATCAGTTTCATGTAGTTAGTCCGAATAGAATCGCCACAACAATAGTTTGCTCAGCACATTTTCATTAAAATCATTGATCAGACTTTAAAAGTTATAATGCAATACAACAGTCATGAATTGAAAATATAGAATTGAAAATCACTTTTTGAAAAGCACTTTTATCTGCAAGGTGGCAAGAAATAAAAGAAAAAATCCTGAAAAAGAAAGATAGAGTTTGCAACATGAAGCCAGTGGACACAAGTGGATTTTGATTTGTGAACCTATCAGTTCGAATTTTCTCCACTACTGCCATAACTTATACAAAATATACAATTTAAAATTCATGGACCTATAAAGGTAAATGTAATTACTATTAGGCATGCAACATGGGTTTTAAAAGTTTTAATTATGTAAGGTGACAATTTAGGTTTCTTCCTATGTTACATATTTTCCCAAATATAGTATCATAATCCTATAAAATAACCAGAAGAAAATCTTTTTTTTTAAAAAATTGCAAATCCAAATAAAGTTAGGCTTCTATTTCTGAGTTATTTGAGTGGTGAATGCAATGTCCATTGACAGCATCCACAGATAACTCGACCTCTGTTTCTAATCTACATCAGTGACCTGGATATCACTAATAAATAAATGTAAGATTGCCAAATTTTGTTGACAAATTTTGACACTGATATATGTAAAGCAGTGAAATGTCTAAAGAGCTTATTTTATTTTTATTGCAAAAAAAATTGGGCAGTTGTGACCACAATTTAAAATTTATAATGGCTGAAATAACACAAAATATTGTTAGTGCACTTAAACATTAAATGAAGTTATTAATAATAACCATAATATTATGATTAAGTGTGTAATCAGGTCAAAAAGTTTCAAAGCACTTTACAGATTTTCTATGGTGACTGTTTATTATTTGGCAAATTTGGAACAATTTTCTATATAGGAAATTCGGTTCTACCTAGATGAGATTTATTTTCATGTAATAATAGTAAAGTATTGATAATATTAAGTTAAAAAAGCAATAAGCATATTTCAACTTCAATTTGAAAATCCTTCTCATCCACTGACTTTCCTTATCTTGTAATTGACATCAAATGCTCTGAGACGCTACCCTGCATAAGGGGCAATATATAAATACAAGTTGTTGTTGTAAAGAAGAATCCCTTTAAAATGCGAATTTTAAATAAGATACAACAAAGCTTCAAAAATAATGAAACCCAAATACTTCATACACAGGTTGAGGGATTACCAAGGCTCACACTGGGCATGTGAAAGTTTAGTCAACAATTAGTAATGAAAATTGACAGAAACATGCTAGCAGTTTTTATTGATTTGGAGTCTGGACTGATTCATCAACTGCTGTGAAAAGGCTTCATGGTACTTATAAAGAAGTTATAGGAAGAGAATTTAGAATAAAGACATTTGTCATTTTTAATTAGTTGAGCAGAGAGTTCATAAAATGGAAAGCATCAGAAGACCTAGAAAAGTTTTTGTTTGTCACATGAAAATGCTTCATTAGTATGTAGAGTCATGCAGTCAACAGCATGTTGCTGACCTGAGCGTTAAGCTCAATTAAAAGGCAATTAGGACACTGCTGCTCTCACGCAGCAAAAGCCATTGAGATGAGACCTGAAGCAGGATTGGCACCCAGGCAGTCAAGGCTTTGATAAAAAAAACTAACAAACCCTTCAAGCATTTTCTCCTCTTTCATGCCTTCGGCCTGCTCCAGTTTCTTTGCTTCTGTAATGAACTCTTTGCCCATTTTCATTCTCTCCCATTCTTCTTTTCTTGTTCTGACTTTCCTCACATTAACTTGATGGTTTCTGTTTGCATTCAATTTATGTTTCTCTCTCTGGAGGGGAAACCATACCAGTATAGGAAATAAACATAACAAAATGAGCAGTGGTTCCTTTCAGAAAGTCCTTTTGGAAAAGCCTCTTAGCTCAGTTTAGAAGGTCAGGTCAAAATAATGTGCGGGCAACAAATCTAGAAAAATGAAGGTTCCCATTATTTGTTCACAAAACTAATTAAGAAAGATTTTAACAGTGGTATAGCTGAAATTCAGAGATAAAGTGACTGTATAATAATATGACAAAGAGAAAAAATATTTAATCCTAGAAATTACTTTTTGAAAATGTTCCTAATCCTGCATGATAATAAATGATGTCTTCCAGTTGTGAACAAAACTCCATCAAATGTTGGGAATCTAAGCGGTTAATCTAAAATTATTTACTAGTTTCAATTAACATTGTTATGGGGGAAATAACACAAAATATTAATTTTAATGATCTGACTCCAGGCAGCATAAAACTCGCCTAAGAGTTTGGCATACTTCCAAACCCATTCTAACTATCCAGATATTTGGCAGCAATGAAGAGCACAAAAGAGAATACCCATATTATCAGGGGATACGAAAAACTTGACACTTGATCTCAGCCAATGTTGAACATTTTTGTTGCATTTTCTTGTATTCTTTGCTCAATGCAACTTCACAGTATTTTGCACGCAATTCTTGTACAATATCCTTTGAACAAATATCTACTAGAAGGCACAGCAGCAATTTTCCATTTCACAACTCACATTCTTATCCGATTTTATTTTCCTGTGTAAAGGACATAAATGATAATATACTTCTATGCAAATATAACATGCAACTTGAGTCTCACATGAACATTTCAACCAGTGTTTCGACAGGATCCTTTGCACAATGAAATCAAATGACACTGAAAGTATATTTAACAATTTTCACTCTACTGTATATTGGTGGACCGAATCCATATGAACAGCATTTTATTCCCATTAATAAAATGTTTACTCCCTGATGATTGAGTTTATTATACTATGCTTACATATTGAAATCTTTTGAGATGTTTTTCCATATTTACATCTCATGAGTTGACCTGTTGTCAATACAGTAGAACGCCGGATATCTACATGTTAATTACCTGTATGCCTTATTTATGTTTATTCGCATCGGGCTTTGAGATGTGGCTGTGCGATGTTACCAAAAATACTGTTATGCGCATGTGTGAATATTTCAACCAGTGATTAAATGTTTGCTAGGAACACTCTGACTCCAGCTAAATTGTGATCCAAGCAACTTCCTGTACATGTATGCACCTGTGCGTACCATCAAAATTGTTTTTGCTAGTAGAGAAGATAGGTTTTATATTGTTAGAGGACATTTAAGAGTTAGATAGAAAGTTAAGAAAGACTCAGAGAGAGAGAAAGACTCAGAAAGAAAAGGCAGGATGTGAGAAAGAACAAACTTGAGACATGAGAGACAAAGTGACAGAATGAAAGAGAAGGGCCGACTGCAGAGTGATATTGCAGTGACAATATAAATCCTGAATTAAAACGTTAAACACTTTAGCCAATTTGTATTTTGTGTGATGTCCAATTATCTGCACTGTTGCTTAATCACAACGGGTCTGGTCTCAATTATTGTGGATAATCGGCTCTTTACTGTACCACATTATAGTTACTCATTACAATTCTAATGAGCAAACACACACATTCTGTGTAAATGTCAATTTTATAGGAAATAACAAAGAGTTCTGGAAACATGGTTATCTTGCTCATGATTACAGACCAGGCAGCTTTGACATGCACAGACCTATTGTCTGGGGAAACTGATCCCTCTGAAGATGCTCCATGGTAAAGATTTTGAGATAACCTGTTGTCAGGTCTAAGTTCTTTGTCATACGCCATCATATTCCACTCCTGCCGCCTGTTCTTGGCCTTTCTAACCTTTTTCACCTCACGGGTTGTGCCTTCTACACGCTTCTGCTCCTGAGGTGTGAAGAAAGCATGCCAAGAGATAGGAATGACGAGAAATACAGGAGGAAAATTTTGTTAGCATCAAAAGATAGAAAGTGCGATGCTTCAAAGAAGGAATCTTGCATATTACACTGAAAGTAGTATTGATTTCAAATATGAATATGGATTTCAACTTTTATTAAAAAAAATCAGAATTACTATATTAAGAATTCAGAGGCCGCTTCAGGCAGCAAGTTCCACAACCTCAATGCCCTCTGTGTGAAGTTGGGAGGCAATTGAATAATAAACATACATACTGGAATGTCTGAGTTAGAACGTTTTTAGTTAAAGTAGAAATCTGATCAATGAAAAGTGGTATTAGAGATTATGAAATACATTCAAAAATGTCAAAAATTAGAAGAAAGTGCTGTACACACATAAGTGGAAGTATTAATGTTAAAAGATACAAGGACCCTGTTTAAAAAAAAACATACTACGACTACACTGTTGCTACATATGCCTTTGATTCATGTCGTACATAACTGGAAACTCACACATGAGTTTCATGTTGTAGCAGAGAAGCACACACGCAAACACGTTTGCAGACTCCAAATTATTTTTGCTGTTGGCCGGTCATGAACTCTCATGTGAGGGAAAAGGCCGATTCTGGCCATGATGTTTTTGACACGCACTTTACAAAACTAGGGATTATAATCTTTACACATTTATAATCCTTACAAGAGCATTGTTGCTTAACGTGCTAGAAAAGATGGAGATGTTGACAGAACTCGCGATAATTCAAAAGAAACTGCAGCTGCTTCTGCAGAAACTGTTGAACCAAGAGAGGAACCTCCTGCAAAGAAGCAGAATTGGTCAAAAACTGACAAATTGTGTCGTTTTCAAGTGTTTTGGAAGAATCAGTTTCCTGTCACATTTAAATTTGATACTTTGGGAATTTGATAAATTTTCGTTGAATTCCGCTAAACTTTGCAAAGAAATTTCAAGAGCGGAAAATAAAGAGTGTGATTCACGGCAATAAGTTTCTGTCTATGTTTCTGTCTACGTCAGAACTCATAACTCTAACCAGCTGCAAAGTTTCTTGGATCCTGGTTCGACTGATGTGGCTCACACTGTTGTGAGTCATGAGCCAGTACAAATCTGGGTTCGACAACATTGGTATAAACCACTAGTCTGTCTAATCCTGTCTAAACCTTTACTAGGAGAACTAGTCTGACATATCTTGCCTGTTCCAGCCTGTACTGTAGATAGGTTTACATGTTTCAGATAAATTAATATTTAAATATATGGGCTTTGGATATGCAGAAGTCCAGTGTTTGGATGAGAAGTTATTCACAGAGAAAGAGTGTAATGGAGGAACAGGAAGCAGTACATTATCGATGTCCAGTTCTTGAGTGGGGGGGATGGCACATATACTTCTTTTCAGTTAATACAAGTATTATTTAGTACTCCGTTACATAGGAAGGACAACTGAAAACATAGTGGAAAATAATATCTTATCTTCGTTAAATTGGAAAATATGAGGAATCAAAGTAGATGTCTTTAAACCAATTTCATCAATATTCTTATTTTTGCTCCTTCTTATTCAGTCAAAAATGCCCTGAGGAAAAGTGTGTGAGGACTCTCTTTCTCCACTTAAATAATGTAAAATATGTGTTAAAAATTCTATCGGGTTCAGCATATTTATATTTTCCTTTCCCCTCTCTAAAGTAAAGGTCTCTTTTCATAGCTGATTGCTGCCAACACTGCTTTCAACCATTATATCCAGTCAGCAAGTGGCTCCACTGAAAATTCCATAGATCAGCATCAGAGCTGGCATGCTGATCAGGTGGTGTCCAGGCTGGAAACATTCAGTCCCACTCCAGTGCTCAGCTGATAATGAACTTTTCTATAATTACCTATTCCTTTTAATCATTGGCAATCCTGCTCTGAAAATAAGTACAGTACCTATCTATTTAAGTTCTATTTTATGCATCAAAAAACCCTGAAACCTATAACCAAAAATAGCACATTTCGTCATACTAAATTGACTTGTAATTTAATATTGATGCAAAAACAGGTCTTAAAAAAAATGCATGGGAAATAAGGCTAAGATCATTGCCTATATTTCTTTTATTAATCCGCTTATGAAAAACCCAGAAAAAATACTGTGTTAATTTGACAGCAGTAACAGCATTTTGGCATTATGGCCTCAAATGCAATGTCTGTGAGCCTATCACCCCGATCCTTGCCCAGCTCCATTGATCTCCCATCCCTCTGTGGATCCAGGTCAAGATCCTCATGCTCACCTTCAACACCCTCCATGGTCTTGACTTTTCTCTTTCCCCCACACCTCTGTGATCTCCTCAAATCATATCAACTTGGCCACTCCCTTCGCTCAGGAGGTATCGGCTTACTTCATGCCTCTGTCTACCTGCTTACAATTCCAAAGTCCCTCTGACTTGCTCCCTCTCTTTCAAGGCTTCCTTATTGACTGTATCTTTGGTCATCCTCCGCTCCCTGACTCCCACCCCTAGCTCAGGTGCTAGCAGGACTATCAAGCACCTCAGGACATCCTCCCAACATGAAAGAAACTATATAAATATAATTTGTATTGTATTGCAATTAGGGGGAGTGAAAATAACAAGCAAAACATGTGAACGATTCTGTTGCATTTTTAAGAGAAATGTCAGTGATCAAAAGAAGAGCTCAGTAAATATGACTACAGGAAGAGGGTAGCAATGGCAATTGAGGGAGATCATTCTGCAACGGCTCATATATCAGCCATGCCCCTTTTTAGTGAATGCAGAAGATATCATGTAAACTCTGGACCTAACCTGTATCCAAGGAAAAACCAGAGCTCTTTGATCAAATGGCCTCAAACAAATCTGAATTTCTAATCTCTATTTAGATATTTCATCTCAGAACTAGTGGAAAGCTTTGAATTAGCATTTTCTCTTTAACTGCTAGCAATGTGTGAAAGATGGACTACTAAGGACAAAAACATCTATACATCCCTGCTGTTAACATTAGAAGGCATCAAATGTCACACATTTACTGTATTGTTATTAATTATTTTTTCCTTCCTTCTTTCAATATTCCTCTCTGTCACGCACCATACACTAGGCTGACAAGCTACTTCCAGGCCTTTGTTTAAACCATTTTGTAACCAATTTATAGAAGTACACAGTACACGATCCCACACTTTGTCCCTCACTATAAGGGGGGAAAGCCCTCTTTGAATGGCACAGCTGAAATAAAAAAAATCACAATGTGGTGAATGACACGATTGTGTGAAGATAAATGTGTTATTGTGCGAATGATAAATTCAAAAATAAGGTTATTACAAAATTAGTGCAATTCTACATACAATCAGCAACAACATGGTTAAATGTAAGCTATTTGTGAAGCATATTTTACTTTCAAGTCTCCTTCTTTGAAAGTCAGGCTGAATTTAATCATATATTCACATGCATTTAACATTTAAACTAAGGACTAATAATTATGCCGTGACATTTCAGTTTTACAGCAATTCTTTTGAAAGTTGCTTAGTTTTAACAATTTGAGTTATTTTGAGCTGAAGCAAGTCCATTTTAACACTAAAGCGAATTGCCTCATCAATATTTTTAAAGAGTTTAGTTAAATTATTTTGCTACCCAGAAATCCATATTAAATATACATTTACTGTACATATTAATGGTAATTTACAGCAGTTATTTATTGGTGAACATTAGAATTTTATAAATACTAAAATTACTTTTATGAACCCAAGCACAGAACCAGTCATTTTCATCTTCAACATTTCTTACCTTTTGTCTTCTCTTCTCTTTTCTCTTATCCTCAGTATCTTGTAGCATCTTCTCTTTCCACAAGTCAAAGAAATAAGATGGATCTGTATAAAATTTAAGTCCATCTTTTTTGTCATCTCTGCAATAAGAAAATAAATTTGACATTATTTCGGTGCATCATAAATACTATCACAATATAATTAACTGGTATAAAATAATGTATCGGCAGTAACCATTGAACATTGTTGCCCAAAACAAGTGGGCAATTTACTTGTTTAATTGGACTGCTGTACTACCATTTACACATTTTCATGGCAAACTAATTCAAACTCTGAAACACAACAGTTTTACAAAGGCAATATTCAAATTCGACCAGCAGTTAGGAGCACTAAATATTTCCATTCAAATACATCATGTTTTTTCTACCTTTTGAATAATCCTTGCACTTGATAATAGTGCCTTATCACATTGTTGAGACATCTCAAAGTGATTCACAGGATATACTGTAAAGTGGTGTGATTATTTTGTGGGCGAACACACAGCCAATTTTGCCCACAGTAATCTCCCACATACAGCCATAGAACAGGTGATGAATTTTATTTGGGGGATTGTTGTCCAGGATAAACTTCCTTCTCTTTTCAAACAGATGATATGGGATCTTTAATGTCCACCAATTAGGTAGACAGGACCTTGGTTTAACATCTCATTCTAAAGGATGGCACCTACAAAAATGCAGCACGCCACCAGCACTGCATTAACGTTTCAGCATAATGGGTTCCAAGTCCTGATGTGGCTCCTGAAACCCCTTCTGTTTCAGAGAATTCTACTAACTGAGCCAGGCTGACCCTTATAATATCTAGCAGAAATAGCAAACATTGTCAATTTCCATTGCAAAATGTTACAAGTCATCTATACCATGAATAAATTAGAAAAAGTAATGGAACACAAATGCTATCTAAGTTTACAATTTTACCATTTTGTTGAGTTATTGCCTGGTGTAGTAGATAATTCCAAATGTACAATATTTTCCTAATATCAATTCAAGATTAATTTGACAATAATGTCCATCTGTATCCTCTGGTCCTACTTTATTTGCTTACTTAAAGTAAGTTTGGGTTTATCCTGTCTGCACTGCAAAATAATTCATGTGCTTCTTTCTACAAGGCCCCCTCCCAAACATGCCTCTTCTGAGACTGTATAGCTCTTCACGTTACTCTTCATAGTTCACCGCTTTTACATACCTGTATGGTGAGAGGATATCCAGAGGAGGCGGTTTGTCACTCTTGTTATACATCTCTAATACTGGGTTTGGAGTTGAATTCTTTGAAACAACCTGCTGGTCCTGAATTGTGGAACTCTTGAAAGCTTTCCTCATGTTAATGTCCTGCAAAGAAACTACATAACAACAATCCATATTATTGTCATCAGTACCATTAATTATGGACAGTGTAATTTTCTTTTGGTCATCCAGGTGTCTGACACATGTAGAAATAGAGCATTGCCACGATCCGCCTACCCAAAGCTCAGACACACATTCCAACCCGCTGATTGATGGTTCAACCAGTTGAAAGTATGCAGTTTCAGTAGCTACTTACTCTCTGCATATCAATTCAGTTGTGTGTTCATGAACCTGGACCTTCCAGCAGCTGTTGTCCAGCAGTGCATAGTGCAAATAGTATCTTGCTATTTTAATGTATAATCCCATTAAATACTTTTATCAGCATGCCTTATTCATGCATGCTTGATGGCAAAAGCAGCAATGATAATAACTCACATTTATATAGCACCTTTTTATATGAAAGAACCATATAATAAAATCCTTGATTTGATATAGCACCTTATCACACCAACGAAACATCTTAAAGCACCTCTGTGAAACTCTTTGAGATGTTCGCCCACATAATACAGTCCACCACTTTCCGTATATCTTGTGAAGCACTTTGAGACATTTCAACAACAAGATACGTCGCTATATCAAAAACAAGAATTATTTATTATTAAAATCTTATTAAGTAAAAATGAAGGCAACGTTGTTATGCAAACAGGACAGCAACTTTACGCCAATGATCCTACAAACAAAAATAATTTTGTAAACTTATTTTCTATTTCCAAGACTTACTAAGGAAACCCTTATATTTTCCATTGAAGTTAAAGATTTAGTCTTTAATAAATACTTTGCTCCACAGGGACACCCTAGATTCTTTTTAGTGACAATAAAACACCAAGGCTAAGAAAAATAAATATCAACCAATGTAGACAACAGGAAAACAAAACTCTTTAATTATTCTGATAACATGATAATTACTTCTGCCTCATCACTTCTACATAATGACTTACCCTCCTCCACTGTAGAGTCCAGCTGAGTTACTTTGACAGCCAAACGATCAATTCTATCTTGAAGAGAATTTGCTCGGATGTAAAAGTTGTTAGCTTCATTAAACAGCTCGCCGAATATATCCTCTGCATGTTTGCCTAAATAGAAATAATATGCAGAATATAGTCAAAGGGTGAAGGCAATCTGGAAGAGCAGCAGGAGAAAAAATGAAATTATTCACAATGTCACAATGAGAATGTAGTGATGAGAGATTTAAAGAGTAAGTAGATGTCCTCAATATCTTACTGTTTGGAACTCTAAGCAGAAAATTGATACTGTGGAAAATGAAGATAGCTAGATGAATAATTAGTGTTCTGACCAACGTGGACAGGAATAAAAATAGCAACTAGCAACAACAACTTGCATTTACATAGTGCCCTTCATGCCGGATAGTCTAGTGGATGCTTAACAATAGTGGAGCTTGATGCCAAACCAGGGGGAAGAGGGGAGGTGACCATAGGCATGGTCAAAGATGAAGGTCTTCAGGTGCGATCTGAAGACAGGCAAGGAGAGGGCAAGGCAGAGGGAGGTCCAGAGTGTCAGGGCATAGTAGCTGAGAACACGACCGCCTTATCGTAAAGCTGAGAAGATGACTGACGTGTAGAAGGCAGGATTCGGCTGAGTGAAGAAAGTGGTAGAGGACGTGGGTGTGAGTATGTCAGAGGTAGGGAGGTGCTAGGGCATGAAGTGAGTGAGTGTGAGGATCTTGAAATTGATCTGTTTTGCAATAGGGAGCCAGTGAAGTCTGGCAAGGACTGAGATGATGGGGATGTGGAGTTTTGTCAGCGGAGTTTTGAATCAACTGAATTATATGAATGATGGAGCTGGGGAGACCAGCAAGCAGGGCATTGGAGAAATTGTGGAGGAGGTGACAAACAGAAGGAATAAAAACAGAAAACATATACAGTAGCAGGAATTAAAATTAAATGAATAAAAGTACTGCAAGTAATAACAACAACAACAAATTACATTTGTATAGCATCTTTCACGTCAAGAGGACATCCTGATGTGGACGCAAGTAATATATTGAAAGCAAGTATAGACTAACTTGTGGGTATATTCCATTTCAAAGACAGGCTGCAATTGAATATGCACAAATGTGTTTTATAACACATTAAAACTTGCTCCAGCAAATTTCTGTAACATGCTGGAAATACAACATATTCATTGCAAGCTCAGGCAAAGAATATAAAATAATGATAAAATCTGTACATCTAATAATCTTTTAGGCACCTCATTCCGCAATTTGACCCAAGAATATAAATGATCCACAGAATTTCTGTGGCAGAATGTTCACATGATGACCGAACCTTTGTGTAGTAAGTCATATTTCTGTCAAATTAAATTTTTATATAGTGATATTCCACCAAATGTATATCCATGCCTCTCTAATCTTATTTTAAACATGTGGTGGAATTAGTGATTCTAAATACATTATTTTAGAAAGAGCTGAAAGATTCCAAATGTCAGTCTGAATCAATGTAAATTAATCATTACCATTTATGAAACCATCTAGGTCGTGAGTCACAGGCCTATTTACATGTGCAGGTAGTGAGAAAAGACAGTTCTCAATTTCACTGATTAATATTTTCAGTACTGCTGACTAAGAAATCTGTGTCCTATTCAGACAATAATCGACAAAGACAGTAAGACTGATGTTACCTAAAAAAATTCAAAAGGTTATAAATATATACTGAAAACAAAAACAGACATCGCTGGGAACACTCAGCAGATCAGCCAGCATCTATGGAGAAAGGAAAGTGAGTCAACATTTCTGGTCCACGACCCTTCGTCAGAACAGACAAAGAGTCTGACGAAAGGGTCGTGGACCCAAAACGTTGACTCACTTTCCTTTCTCCATAGATGCTGCCTGACCTACTGAGTGTTCCCAACGACTTCTGTTTCTGTTTTCAGATTTCCAGGATCTGCAGTATTTTGCGTTTTATAAATATTGATGATCAAAGTTAGGATGATCTATCATTCGCTATTAAAACAGTCAGATTATCGTATGCTGTTGCCAAGATACACTAACTTATCCATGAGAGTAACAGAAATGAGCAAGGGATACAGAAGCACTTCCTTTCTCTAATGAGCTTGTAGTTAGTTCTTTCAAGCCCACAGGTCAAACAAAGGATTTTATTAAATGATAAATTAACTTTCAATTTACAAAAGAGAAAAGAACATTACAACAACAAAAACAACAATTTGCAGTTATATAGTGCCCTCCATGTGGCATAGCTAATTATCACCACATTTAGGTCAAACTATAGTTTACCACTTCTTACAATAAAAAAACAGAATGTTATTGCGGCAGAGAAATAATAATAATAAATATTATTTTAAAGCATGCAGGTCAATGCATTTGGTCAAAAATACTATTCTTCATAGCTTCTGGAAGACTAGACTACAATTCTGCTGTACTTTGGTCTATTGAGCACCGTCTGAACGCTTAATAGTTTACGGTTAACAAAAAATAATTATCTGTGGAACTAGTCAGATTCATTGCTTTAACCAGGTGCCTGTAACTGCAATGGTCTCTCCTTATGCAATAATATCTTTAAAAAGACTGACAACTTTCTATTAAATGCTTATATTACCACAGCAACATATTTGCAATGAATTATATGCTGTATTTTACACCACATTAATTTAATTAACTGTTCACCGGTGTATCTTTACAAGTACAGTATGACAGACAAACTTTTGTCTGAATGGCATGCTTGTATTACAATTTCACAGCTGACATAGGAAGGTATTATACAGTTTCATGGCTGCAATTCTCTATATTTGAGATCATGATTTCAGCTGTGCTGTCACAATAAAGTACTGAGCAGAAGCTGGGAAGTGACTGATGGAGGAACAATTAAACATGAGCTGTTCTCTGAGGGAAATACTTAGATTGTGTGCTCTCCATGCTAGCCAGACCAAGTAGGTGTGTCTTCTCAGAGTCAGTTCAATCCAAGGGAGACCTACTTCTCTAACTCCCATGAGCCTATTTATACATTGATAAATAAGAACCAAAATGAATATGAAATCCAATTTTACATTTAGAATCCATTTAATAAAATCCATTCATAGTATTAATAAAAGCAGAACCAAATTACCTTCATATGGCTTCTATTACTGAATTGTAAAATATGGAAAGTGGCAGTATTGGAGCACAAGAATGTTTGTGGCACTGGGTCAAATAGAAAATTTGCTAAACTGCCTGCAATATAATTTGTTTATATAGAACCGTAGAACTCCACAGGACAAGAGGCCATTCAGCCCACCGAGTCCGCACCAGCTCACAGAGCAAAAATAATTTAAACCCACCATCCCAGTTATGTCCATATACTCCTTCAACTCCCTCTCTTTCATGCCTGTTTACTTTCTTTCCTCTTGAAAGCTACAACAGATTCCAACTCCACCATCCTACTCAGCAGGGCATTCTACACCCCAACAACTCTCTGGGTGAAAAACATCTTCCTAAATTCTCTTTTCTTATAACTATGTATCATTGTCAATGACTTCCATATTGATGGAAATAACTTCTCCCTATTTACCTTGTCAAAATCCTCACAATTCTTTACACCTCCATCAGGTTCCCACTCAACCTTTTCTGCCTCAAAAAAAACAGACCCAGTTTCCAATCTCTCCTCATAACTATAGCCCTTCAGCCCCTGGCCATCCTCGACAACCTCCTCTGCATCCTCTCTAAGGCCTTAACATCTTTCCTGAAGTTACTCAAAACTGCATACAGTACTCCAGCTACGATACCTAACAGCAATTTATACAATTTAGCATTATTGCTTTACTTTAGTCCTCAATGCCTCTGTGCACAAAATCCAGCATTATAGGCTTTCTTTTCAGCCTTTGCGATGCCACGTTCAATGACTTATGTACCTGCATTCCCAAATCCCTTTGCTCCTCATCTTCTTGCAAAATCCTGCCTTTCAGAATATACTCCCTTCCCTCATTTTTTCTCCAAAATAAATCACCTCACACTTTCATTAAACTTAATTTGCCACTGATTAGCCCAGTGCACTAATCTGTTTAAATCCTACTGAAGTCTTTGTCCATCCTCATCACACTTTACTGTACCTCCCAGCTTGGACCCCTACAGTCCAGTTTTCGCCCCTGCTCACAGCATAGACACAACGCTCACCCTCAATCCCTCTGCCTTACCCCNTCCCCATCTTCAAATCCCGCCTAAAGACCTTCCTTTTTGATTGTGCTTATGGTCACCTCCCTCCTCCCTCCCTTTGGCTCAGCGTCAACCTTGACGCCACTATCAAACACTCCGGGACGCTACCCTGCGTGAAGGGCGCTATATAAATGCAAGTTGTTGTAGCTTGGCATCATCTGCAAACCTTGATACTGTACCCCTATATCCAGGTCAAGGTCATTGATATATACGGAAAAAAGGAGAGGCCTGAGCACAGACCCCTTGACATGCACTAACTATCTTCCTCCAACTGGAAAAAACAACCTTTTATCCCTATTCTCTGCTCTTCGTCCTTCCATCACCCTTCTATCCAAACTGCCACGTTTTCCCCCATTCCAATTGCCCTGAGTTTCTCTACCAGTCTTTCGTGTTACTTGTTATTACCTCAGCAACAAACAACTATTTACATTTATGTAATGTCTTTCATATTGGGAGGATGTTTCAAACCATTTCACACAACTTAGTGGGTCCCCAAACTGGAGGGGTGGGGGTGAGGTAGAGGGAGAGGATAAGGCGCCTAAAATACAAACAAAGATGTAGGTCTTAAGTCAGATTTTGAACGCGAGAAGGGAGGGGGCAAGGCGGAGAGACACCGCGATGGAATTTCAGAGGGTGGATGAAAGTTCACTCACCGAAAGTGAGGTAGATTGGGTGGGGGCATGAAGCAGGCTGGTGTTTTCTGAATGGGTAGTAGACTGCCTAAGGTCGCAGAGGTGAGGTAGAGTGTGGTGTGAGGGCCAGGATCTTGAATTCAATCTGCAAAGCGACGGGGAACCGGTGGAGCTGAGCGATGATGGGCTCTTAGAGCCTGGTGCGGGAGAGGTTATAGCCTGAAGAGTGTTGGATGGTTTGAACCTCATGTAGGAAGAAGATGGGGAATCTAGCGAGCAG